AGCTCATCAAGCGCCTTCCATCTGCTCGATTTGCCTGCCGTATCTTGCGCTGATTCTTCAAAGAGGATCTTTTCATACGGAGGAACGTTTGAGAGGATCCTTCAAGCCGTTGCTTTGATATGTGCAGTGGGATCTGGTGCGGGAATCGCCCTCCAGAACTTGATTTTTGGCAGCTTCGTCACGACCATCCAGGACTTCACCACTGGAAAGTCCACTCCGGACCACTTCCGCGGCGAGGTCTCCAAGCTCGCGTACGTACACCACTCGGTATTTTGAATTCGGAGCTAACTCCGCCAGTCTCTACTTCGTCTACCTGGGAATCGCCAGATTCGCACTTGCGTACGGCTACATTTCGCTGACGACATTCTCCGCCTACCGCATCACGAGGAACCTTCGACACAAGTACCTCCACGCCGCCCTCCGACAAGAGGTAGCATTCTACGACTTCGGCACCGGGGGTTCCATCGCGACCCAGGCCATCTCCAACGGACGACTGATCCAGGCGGGAATCGCTGAGAAGCTCGCCCTGACCTTCCAGGGACTTGCTGTCTTTGTTACCGCCTTCATCATCTCCTTCATCACGCAATGGAAACTCACGCTCATCGTCGTCGGCATTGCGCCTCTCATTCTCGTCGTTATGGGCGTTGCCTCAACCTTCGAGGCTGCCCTTGAAACCAAGATCCTCGATACCTACGCCCAGGCAGGTTCCTTCTCCGAAGGTATCCTCGCCAGTGCCCGAACCGTTCATGCATTTGAAATCAGGTCAAGACTGGTTCAGAAATTCGATAAGTTTCTGCAAGACGCCCATAATCTCGGAAACAAGAAGTCGCCCCTTTTCGGTATCCTGTTTTCCTTCGAGTACTTCGTCATTTACGCCGGCTTCGCCCTTGCCTTCTGGCAGGGCATCCACATGATGAACCGTGGTGAGATTACCGAGTCTGGAGATATCTTCACGTAAGTGTAATTCCTGTTCCCTCGATTCCGTGCCGAGGAACTAACGTCTATCAGCGTTCTTCTTTCCGTTGTCATTGGTACTACTGCTCTGACCATGTTGACCCCGTACATCATCGAGTTCACCCGCGCCGCTTCCGCCGCAGCTCAGTTGTTCAAGCTCATCGACCGGCCTTCAGAAATCGATCCGTTCGAAAAGTCGGGTGAGCAGCCAACTGACACTGTTGGAGTCGTCGACCTGGAGAACATCACCTTTTCGTACCCGACCAGACCTGGCGCTACTGTGCTGGACAACTTCTCTCTGCATATCCCCGCGGGCAAGGTCACCGCTCTTGTGGGCTCCAGCGGTTCCGGAAAGAGTACCATCATTGGCTTGATTGAGCGCTGGTACAACCCCAAGGCTGGCACCATCAAGCTTGACGGCAAACCCATCGATCGTCTCAACCTCAACTGGCTTCGTAAGAATGTCCGTCTCGTCCAACAGGAACCCATTCTGTTCCAGGGCACAGTCTTCGACAACATTGCCAATGGATTGGTCGGAACCCAGTGGGAGAATGCCCCGCGGGAGGAGCAAATGCAGCGTGTGCAAGAGGCCGCCAAGATTGCCTTTGCGCACGACTTTGTCTCACAGCTTCCAGAGGGTTATGACACCCTGATTGGTGAGCGCGGTGGTCTCCTTTCAGGTGGACAGAAGCAGCGTGTGGCCATCGCCCGTAGCATCATCTCGCAGCCCAAGGTTCTCCTGCTGGACGAGGCTACCAGTGCTCTCGACCCGCACGCGGAGGGCGTCGTTCAACAGGCTCTCGACAAGGCCTCTGAAGGTCGCACCACAATCACCATCGCGCACAAACTGGCAACGATTCGCAAGGCAGACAACATCGTCGTGATGAACAAGGGCAAGATTGTCGAGCAGGGAACCCACGAGGGACTTCTCAAGCAGGACGGCGCTTACACCCGTCTCGTTAGAGCCCAAAACTTGTCTGTTTCGGAAGAGGGATCTATCACCGAGACTGAGGGAGATGACGACGATTCTGCCCCGAAAGAGAACATCGAGATGACCAAGACTATGAGTAGGTACCGGACTGCAGACCAGACCCGCATGGAGCTCCAAAAGGAGCGTGACAACTACGACCATCACAAGCAGCAGGGCCTCATCAGTGTGGTTATCAGAATGGTTCGCGAGACCCCGGAGTTGAACTGGGCTTACTTTGGCACCTTGGTTGCCGTTGTTGTAGCTGGTAAGTGCCTTGAAGATGCATCCTCCGTGACACTTGCTGACAGTATGCAGCTGGTGCATTCCCTGGTCAATCTTTAATCATCGCCAACCTCGTCGACGTCTTTACTCTGACAGGCTCAGAAATGATCTCCAAAGGCAACTTCTATTCTCTGATGTTCTTCGTTCTTGCTCTCGGTGTCTTTGTCTGCTACTTCGCCATGGGCTGGACGACCAACACAATTGCACAGGTAAATTTGGCCCCTAATCTGATACTCGAAGTGCCTGATCTAACGCGTCATAGGGCCTCAATCACAAGCTCCGTAAGCAGGCTCTCAACGATTTCCTCCGACAAGACCTCCAATTCTTCGACCGCAGAGAGAACAACACCGGTGCTTTGGCCAGCAAGCTTGAATCCAACCCGCAGTCCATCTTGGAGCTCATGGGTTTCAACATTGGCCTCATCTTGATCTCGACCCTCAACGTTGTGGCTTGCAGTATCCTGGCCATTGCCACTACCTGGAAGCTTGGTCTGGTTGTTGTGCTCGCCGGTCTCCCGCCCTTGGTGAGCTCGGGATATATCAAGGTCCGCCTGGACTCCAAGCTCGACAACAGCACGTCGAAGCGCTACTCTGCCAGCGCTGCCATCGCCTCGGAGTCGGTGACCGCTATCAGGACTGTCTCGTCTTTGGCTATCGAGGAGTCTGTTCTGAAAAGATACACGGACGAGCTCGACCACGCAGTCAGGGCTTCAACGGCGCCGCTCTTCACCATGACCGTTGCCTTTGGTCTTACCCAATGCATCGAGTACTTTTTCATGGCTCTTGGCTTCTGGTACGTCCCTAGCCCCTTCTCATTCTAGTCCATACTAACACACCGCAGGTACGGCTGCCGACTGTTGTCTTTCAACGAGATTAGCATGTACCAGTTCTTCGTCGCCTTCATGGGAACATTCTTCTCCGGCCAGGCCGCCGCTCAACTCTTCCAGTACTCTAGCAGCATGACCAAGGGTATCAACGCCGCAAACTACCTCTTCTGGCTCCACGATCTCCAGCCCACCATCCAAGAGACGCCCGACAACCACGACAAGGCCCCCAAGTCGGGCACCTCTCTCGACTTTGACCACCTGAAGTTCTCCTACCCCCTGCGTCCCGAAGCCCACGTCCTGCGCGGCGTCGACCTGGAGGTAAGCCATTCTAGTCCTCAACAAATTGATCGACGTCACTGACACATCATCACAGATCAAGAAGGGCCAATTCGTCGCTCTAGTAGGCGCCTCCGGCTGCGGAAAGAGCACCATGATCGCCATGCTCGAGCGCTTCTACGACCCGACAACCGGCACGATCCGCATCGACGGCGACGCCGCCCTCTCCGATCTCAACCCGCGCCTCTACCGCCAGCTCGTCGCCCTCGTCCAGCAGGAGCCGACCCTCTTCCAGGGCAGCATCCGCGAGAACATCGCCCTGGGCATCGACTCCGACTCTCTCACCGACGTGCCCGACGCGCAGATCGAGCAGGCCTGCCGCGCGGCCAACGCCTGGGACTTTGTCTCGTCCCTCCCCGAAGGCCTCGGCACCCCCTGCGGAAGCAGCGGCATGCAGCTGTCCGGCGGCCAGAGGCAGCGCATCGCGATCGCGAGAGCTCTGATCCGCAACCCGAGGATCCTGCTGCTCGACGAGGCGACGAGCGCGCTGGACACGGAGTCGGAGAAGATTGTGCAGCGGGCGCTCAACGAGGCGGCGCGCGACGGCGAGAGGATCACGATCGCTGTCGCCCATCGTCTATCCACAGTCAAGGACGCGGACATCATCTGCGTGTTTTACGGGGGCAGGATCGTGGAGAAGGGGACGCACGTGCAGCTGGTTGCCAAGGGTGGCATGTACAAGCAAATGTGCGAGGCGCAGAATCTCGAGTAGAGGGACACTGAGGATTCTTTTGTCATTAGGAGTTGAGCAAATGGCTCCTCCTTGGGTTTTTCGGCATGGCGTTGGGAGACATTACCCTGTACAACGTACGCATCAACTGCACACAACTCGGCCATCATAGAACTGTAGAGTAGATCTTAATGTTTATCCACTTCAAGATAACAACGAATTGTTGATGGTCCTGTCTATACTGATTTTCCTGTGTCTGCGCGGCTATATTTCCTGTGTTCTTTAAATACCCCTACCATATTGAAGACGATAGTAGCGACGACGGCGATAACGACGGCGATAACGACGACGACGACGGTGACAACGACAATAATAATAATAATAACGATAACGACAGCGACGATAGAAGCGACGACGACGACGGTGAGGTAGAGTGTAGCCGTATGAAAAGTAGTCGCTCTACCACAGGAAAAATAGGCGGCCTTTTGTTGTGGCCATACATACACATAAGACGCCTAATTGGGCGGTAGACTTCAATCCTAATCCCTCAGAGTCAGGACCTCTTTATCATGAGAATACTTATATGAGATTAGACCACGATTCCCCAAAGCTATGGACGCATCACTCACTAGGCCTCACCTATCAAACACGGATATCTCGCAGAATGTGAAATATCGAAATATTGCTACTAGACTTTATAATATGCCGGGATGATCAATGAAAACCGGATAACTATCGCCAGATCCTCTCGTCCAGGTGATCAAATAGCAACACAGAAGCCACCTCCAGGTCTCCTAGCAACCCAGAGAGGAAAAAAATACAATACAAAATACATTTATATTATACTGGTGATATGTTATATGATCTTTCTTCTGTCTGAGGACCTGCACATTCTAACACTGGCTTTCAATGACACTCACACACATCCGCCGACGATTCATGGTCGGCTGGGCACAATGTTCTCAGAATATTACAAACTCCTCCACCAAACGCTCTTCATCCTGAAACAACGCATACGGTTCCAGCCCATACAAGTAACAATCATTCGACATCACCCACCCCTCGCCCTCCTCCCGCCGACGCAGCACAAACGGTTGATCTGCCCCGGGGAAAAACACGACATGATCACCCACGCGGGCCCGAGGACCAGCAAGCCCCATGGACCCGTCTTCCGTAATGAAAAACCGGCGGCCGTAGCAGGAAAGCTCCATCTGCTTAGCAAACTCGCGGAGCTCATACTCAACTTCAGTGGCAGTCGTATCTTCTTCTTCGTCCCCTTTCCCGACACCTAGCCACCACAGGTAGAACTCGCGGTCCCGCAACATCATAGCCGGATCCGCCTGCTCGAGTATCCCCATGCCGCAATGGCGGTACCACTCGGCGAACCCAAAGTCGATGCTGTGCAGCTCATCACCATGGCTGGCCGCCAGAGTGGCCGCAAACGCCCGCGTCACTGACGGGGCATCCGTCGTCTTCTTCCACTCGGAAATCAGCGCCGCTGCGAGGGCCTCCCACTCTCGCATGACCCTGGCAAATGCGTCTGTTCCGGGAGTGTCGGCTGTGTCTGCAGGCAGCTCGGGCCCCAGGGATCGTATCGTGTCGACTCGCTTTCCTCTAAGCAAACGCGCGCCGTCGTCTCGGAAGGACATCCCGGGGAGAATCTTTTGCGTCAGCTCGCTTGCGGGGACACTGGAAGAAGTCCCGTCCACCACTCGATAGTCCAAGTCTTGCGGGATTCCGTAGGGAGGGTGCCACGAGTGTAGGGGAAGCGTGCCCGCCGTCGTCGTATCTGTAATGTCGGGGACCCAAGACGGCAGGGACTTCGTCCGCGCTCCAACGCCGAAACACCTCAACACGCGTAGATCTCCCGTCAGCCGGATCACGGCTTCCGTAAACTGGCGGAATATCTGCTCCACTGGCATATCATAGTCCACCGTGACGAAGCCGGGCTCGAACAACCCCAAAATACCGTATACCCTGTCCTCGACTTCGCTCGTCTGACAGACGCGGCTGTACCGCATGATGCTCACGGGGTCACTGCCGTACTTCAACAAGCGCAGCCTCCAGATGTGACTGTCCGCGTCGAACCCCGAAATGGGATGGTCCGGGGGATTGTCCGGGAAACTCAGCCTGCTCGACAGCCCGTTGGCGCCGCCGGAGATATCGGAGCGGCCGCAGCCCAGGTCCATCCACGGCGCCGCGTCCTCCCCGCACATGACGACGGCCTTGCGGCTCAGCGCGACCTCCTGTATGACCCAGGTGCGGAAGAACCACGGGCGCGTGATGAGGGCGAGCCACGCGCGGCGCAGACGGGGCGTCGGTTTCGCAACGTTGGGCCAGGACTTCTTTGCTAACTTGTCCTTGAGGTGCTCGAACACGAGATGGGAGTCGTCGGCGGCTTCGCCCAGCCAGACTACGACCTGGCGCGCGGACTTGTAGATGTCTCCCATGATCATGACCTGCTGGTTGCGTTCGCCATGGGTCGACTGGTCGATGCAGAGGGCGTCGACCCAGAGAGTTCGGGCTTCGCTGCTGTCACGGAGGTGTACCAGCGCCGAGTGGAGATTTGTAGTGATCGGGACGGTGTATTCTTCGATGAGGATATGGTCACTGGGGCCGGCATCTCCCCAGACGTATGACAGAGCTTCGTAGTCTGGCTGGTAGGTGATATCGCTCTGTACCAGACGACCACTCAAGGGCGCTGCGCGGCTGCTTGAGGGGAGTAACTCCAAGAGGCGGAACGAGCTTTTGCTAGGTAAAGGGGTATACTCAAGTATACTATTAGTGGCATTGAAATGTGCAGTTGTTGTTGGCGGTCCACGCTTCAACTGCAACATTACATCAGGGGACTCTTGTCGAGCCTCGACGAGTTGTTGCAACCGCAAGTCCCACGCCCGTCTTTGTTTGATTATGGCGTCTTTTTGACGAGTTATGAGCTCCCCATAAGAAGGCAGTGACCAGCCGTCATCGCCATGAAGCTTGCATTCCACCATCTTGACCACATGCAGCCGCTCACCGATGTTCTTCAGGGAATGATATTGACCCTGCCGCATCGCCGTTGACGCATCCAACTCCAGACCAGGACACCCAGGATCAGCGCCAGCTTCAAGAAGCATCCGCATAGCCCTGATATTATCCCTGACAATCGCAAGATGCAGCCAGCTCGTCGGCATCGGCTCGTCCTTCTCGTCGCGCCGCAGCCTGGCGCTGAACACCCAGTCAACGTGCGGACCGGGATACTCGGAGACCAGATACTGGATAGTGTCCAGGTACGCATGCCCGCTGCTGATCAACCGAACGGCCGTCTTGCCCCAGCTCTCCGGATCCGAGGCGAGCTGCGGCCCGTACTCGCCGACACACCAGCGCAAGAGTTCCAGCTGCTGTCTCGACAGCGCATTCTTCTGCATCGCGGCGGGATCCAGGACGGCGCCGTGCGATATGAGGAGTCGCGCCATCTCGAGGCTGGCAACGTCGGCGGGCACCGTTTGCGGGTGGATGCCGCGCCGGAGGAGACGTTTCGCGAAGTCGAGCTGGTTTCTGCGGGCACAGTAGGCGATCATCTCCTGGTAGTCGGACTCTTCAAGGCTTTCCGCGCATGCTAGGAGGCCTTCCATGAAGGCCAGGAGTCTTTCCGCGCCCCCGTAGCGCCCTGATGCGATGGCTACCTCTAAAGGGGTTTTGTCTTTATCCGTCGCCCGGTTGCCAAAGACGCAACGCCGGCGGGTTCGCGGGCTTTCGCCATGTTCCATGAGAAGCTTCGCGATTGGAAGCTGGCTTGTAGCGGCGGCGGCATGTAGGGCAGAACCAAACGAGTCTCCCTCCCCCTGGCCTCCGTCCACCATTCTAGGGCCTGCCACATTGGTAGCGACACCAAAGCCGAGTAGCCTCTCAACGAATTCGAATACGCCCTTATAGCAGGCAATGTGCAGCAACATAACAAGTCCTGGGTCGTCCTTGGTGTACGAGAGTCCTGCCTGCAAGAGGTGAAGTATGATGTCGCCCCAGGTGTCTTTGAGATTTAGCGCCCACATCGGTCTGTCGTAGCTCACCCCAGGCGGCCAGCCAACCGAAGTCATGTCGACGATGCGTTGCGGCGATATCAAGGCGTCAAGCGTGACCTGAAGAAGATTGACTTTGGTCTCCGGCTTGACCTGCTGAGGCCCCTCAAACCCGTCCTCGGCATTGCCTAGTTGTACGGGGGTGGACCGGTGATGCTCGGTCGAAAGTTCCGCTCCAGCGGCCACCAGAAAACGGAAGAGTTCCCCATACCCCAGTATGCAAGCATAGAACAAAGCCGTATTTCCATCCTCATCCAAGCAAGTGACCGAAGCTCCGTGTTTGATCAAGAGCTCCACAATGGCCATGAGCTCAGGACTCGACTCCCTAGGCGACTGGCCGAGCAACCCAGGCTCGACCTTGACCGCTTTGATCGCGACCTGCAGGACATCATTCTCCTGCGCAAACAGGACATTCGTGTAGTCCTGCTCTACCAGTATGCGTGCAAGGTGATAGTCCGGTTTCAACCCCTTTGAGAGACATTTCCGTACGGCCTCGACGTGGTACCGCTTAAACACCGGCGACTGCCGATACAGTACAAAGAACTCGTCGGATTTCAGCTGCTCGAGAGGAGTGAATCCCTGCGGGTCGTCGTGTGTGTTTTTCTTGCTGCACAGGCTCACGAGCCATTCTCCTGCCGCCGCGATGACTTCCTCCGTCGGGATGGCATCGTCTTGGTCGGGTTGCGGGTGTTCCATCGGCGCCGTGATCAACGTCGCTGGGCTGAAATAGAATGCAGAAACGTTGACTGATGTTTTCTCCTAGGATTCTCGCAAGATCAAGAACTATGAAAAGGACAAGTCATTTTCTGGGTAATAGAGAGAGTGTGTGGCATCAGAACTTCAGTCTGCTGCCTGGCAGATGCCGTGGCGGTGCACAGCACCTCGAAAGGATCGAGGTGCGTGGTACCATAAGGTCAGCACGCTACGCAATGGCGAAACCGGACAAAGTCTACGGCTGAAGCTTGAGGTTGCTAAAATAGTCGCGCGCCTCCTGAGGATGCAAGAAGCAGAAAGGAACAGCTTGTCGTTAGTGTAGAACGCTGACAGTATGCTTGTCGGTTCGGCTCTGTGACGGAGAGCGGATGTGGCTGATGGGGGTGCCGTGATTGCCGATCGGTGTGGGCACCCCGCGATCGCGCCCCCGGGCATCTCGCCGGCCTGACTTTCGGATTCCCAACCGGGCGCTGAGGTCGACGCCGGCAAGAGTCGCGAACAATGCAAAAGCTAGTCAAATGAGTGGCCGATTTCAGGAATGAAATTACGCAACGCCAAACCACGTCCCGGTAAGTTGAGCGTCAGGGCTCACAGGCCAAGGCTCCTTGGGACAGATGAAAACGAGGTTGTCCTGAAATACCTTAGTCAAATGCCCACTGACAGTCAAAGGAAGACGCGTTGTCGATGGCGAGGCAGAGCTGAAGGTAGTTACCACCTTCTTCCAATCTCGCACACGCCCGTCAAATTCATCCACGTTTCCTCCAACCCGACCGACGCCAATTCCGAGAATCTCGTTCGATGCATGTCATTTGGGCAATGGGCAAATGAGCATTGACATGGACAACCCGGCACTCACCAAATAACACCCTCAACTAACTCCTGTCGGTTAGCATGCACATCTCAGGGAAATTGACACCAACGGGAAGGCATTTTCTCTCTCAACGGCATGTGGATTGTCCGATCTCAGCCTGCGTCGTCTACTTTGACGGCAGGCTTCACAAAAAATATTACACGGTCGCCCCCTACGGACCAAGGTTCCAAAGCCGTCTACTCCTTCAGCCTCTGCAAAGTCAGAGACGTGTTTTTTTCAGAGAGGGAAAGAAAAAAAAGTGGGCGAAGTAAAAAACACGCAAGGTGAATTACTTGTTACATGGTGGTCTCTTCTTTCCTGCTTGTATCGTCTTCTCCATCATCTTCAGGGAGACCCCGGAAAAACAACAACTGGGTTGGCCATATCAGGTTGGTGGTGATCTGAGTCCAAAAAAGCGACAGAAAAAGGAAAATGTGTCAAAAGCAAGTTTTACTGCACCACTTCTTCTCTGGTGCAGTGTGCAACGGCCGTTACGCCCAAGAACGAGACGGGCACTCCCTTCCAGCCTCGTTTCCATCTTCGTCCCCTCGTGCTGAGAAGAGTTCGAAAAGAATTAACTGAGTGGAGGGAGCCCCGCCAGACCATGATCCTAAAATGCATCTTATCCCGCCTTCAACCAGGCCCGCCGTTCCCTACCAATCTTTGAGAAGAAGAGCTGAACAGCTGTGTGCAACGCCAATCGCGATCAGGAGGGGAATGTGTAATGTGTGGTGTGTGAGTGTGATGGTGTGCGCGTTGATCAAACTGGTGACACTGAAAACGCTGCGATGATGCCTTTACGGCGAGTTTTGTTACAAATGAAAAAAGTGAGTGATTCGGGTCGATAGTCGAATTATGCCCGGATAAATGAGCTCGTGGCGCTCTATGCAATCTGAAAGTCTCAAAGTCGGGGCTGCGCGGTCGCCAGGTTCTTAACGGCCCGCCTTATGCCTAACGAGGAGGCTCCAGTAGTTCAGCCGATGAAGAACAGCACGTTTTTGAAGGTCGTAAAGTACGTAATGGGTCATGATCCATTATAAGTATGCGACAGTCGAGTTGAACAGAGGTACGTGATCGAACGTAGTCGAGGGCATCGCACCAGAGCCAGGACAACTGGCTGGCGCGGTCGGCTGAAATCAGCAGGACTGATACAGGAGCAACGGCTCTCCTACGTTCTCGATTTCGGGGATGGTGCACTTGAGGTCGAAGGCCTTGGAAAGGACAATCTTGAAGATCTGCAACGAGTCAGCTTTGATTGTCTGGCGGGTTGTCTGGTGGTGTCACCTTCTGCACATTGATACTATGGCTCGTGCTGGAAAAGATCAACGCCGCGCGCATCGCCTTTGCGAACCGACGAGCCTATGGTGTGTCAGTTACACGAAGAGCCCGAGAAGGCGAATATGACATACCTGGTTGGAGATCTCTTCTTGGTCTTCCCTCGGGAAGTTCACAAAATGGTCGTACTTGGTGCCCACTAGGATTGGGATGGCCGTCTTGTTGAAGCCTCGGCCTTGGCGATACCACTCCTTGATGCTGTTGAGGGTGCTCTTCCGTGTGAGGTCGAACATGAAGAGGATGGCGACCGCGTCATTGCATACGAGGGGCAGCATGTTGACGAACTCGCGCTGACCGCCCAAATCCCAGATGGAGAAGGTGATTTCGGTATTCCGAATGGAGATTGTCTTCTCCATAAAGTTGACGCCCAGTGTTTGGATATAGTCCTCGTCCCAGCTTCCCTCCACGTACTTGACCATCAAACTCGTCTTGCCGATTTGCGCATCTCCCACCATGCCGACCTTGATAACGACGTGATTGCGACCGTTGCTCGCCGCAGCCTCGGCGCCGGCGCTGCTTCGTGACGCATGGTCGGCGTAGCCCTGTTGTGCGCCGTTGCCCGAGAGGCCAGATGCCGGTCTTGAGATGGGAGGAGCGTTCATGGGCAGCGGCGGGGTGTTGTACCGGTCGGCGTGCTCATCGGCCCGTGGTGATTGTGGTGGGAGGCCATGGTCGATGGATTGGGCTGATTGATGGCGCTGCTTCTCTGTGTACTCGTATCCGTTGGACTGGACGACCTGAGGAGAGCCGTCAAGACCGCCGAGGGTATCGTCGGGATGAGGCGGGGCGGGGGTGTATTCGTGCTCCATGTTGTCGACGGCGTCGTGGAACTGGGCCGGTGACCCCGCGGACAGTGTTGAGGAATCCAGCGTGGAGGATCGCGGGGGAGGCGGGGATAGAGAGGCTCCGTCTCGGGCGAAGGGTGAAGACAGGTGAGGTGTTTCGTCGCGGTTGGCCGTCTAGCGTGTCGAGGACAGCTGGTCGTCGGCACGAGGCTCTGTCGGGGAGCGAAGGAGAGACCGGGGTGGTAGGCGGCAGGTTTCAGTTTAGGCCCGACGATGGCTTCATGGGCACAGCCAAGTGCAGTGAGGCAGCGACAGATCGTCTCTGAGCGCCTGACTCGAATTTCAGGTCTGCAAAGCGGTAGCCGTCAGTGATTAAAGTTGGCGACGAAAAAACACGCAAGTCTTGGAAGTGAATGGCGGCGTGAGAGGAAAGGGAACGAGAGAGTGTCAGGCGAAGATGTCTCACCTAACCTCTCCACACAGAACAGAGGCAGAGGAGGAGGAGTCGAGGAGGGACAGGAGAGTGAGGTAGGTAGTGTGTGGTGCAGTGGACGGTACGGAGCGGTACGGTACCTCTGGAGTCGAGACGGTGCAGTGGCAGACAGAAACAAGAGACGGGATTGGGCGAGGGAGGTGAACCAGGGGCTGCCCACCACAAGCTGGAGTCGAGTCGAGTCGAGCCGAGCAATAGGAAGACGGGCTTGTATTGGACCAAGCAACGTACCGGCGTGAGAAAGGGTGTGGTGGCAGTTGACGAGCGGGAAGCCGGGCTGGACCAGGTTTGCTGGACTTCAGAACCCTCCTTGTTTGGATCCAATAGTCGGGTCAGGCCCGAGAGATGAGGACAAGCCAAAGCAGGGCAGGGCACAAGGCGAAAGACCAAGGAAGGAAGATGAGCAGCAACGTGCAAGCCTGGTGAGGTTAGGTTAGTTGTGTAGGCAGGGCGGCGAGAACAAGGTAGTGACGGACGGGACGGGATGCTGATGAGATGCGGCGGTGCAAGGCAAGGCGGTGCGCTGCGTGGGTGGTGGATGGAAACAGACCTCTGAAGGCTGAAGGAACCAGCAGTCACGGTCCAAGGAATGTACCGAGACGGACGGGTCAGGGCAATGGAAACGGGGGGAAAGGATGGAGATGGCGATGGAGACGGATGGGATTAGCGGAGCCCAGCAGCAGCACGACGCATTTGTGTTGTGCGCGATGCAATGTGGATGAGCATTGAGATGGGGGACGGGGACGGGGATGCGATGCGATGTTCGTGTTATTCTCGACACCTGGGTGCTGACCGGGTGTTTGTGCTACGGTGCCTTGTGCTTACCGGCCAGCGTGCTGTGACCACTAATGAATCTGGATTATTAGCGGGTGGCCTGGCGGGATTTAGCAGACACGCCAACGCAACGCAGGAAACGCGGGCAGCAGCGCAGGGAAGCGATTAAGGCAGGACCCCCTCCCCAGCACGCGGCGCTTATGGCAGATCGAGGGAGGTGCGACAGGGGGCACGGCGAGGAAACAGCCAGTCAGAGCCCAAGGATGCGCGCTGGGGAGGGGGGACCGGCCAGAGGAGGGGGGGCGGCACTGGCGAGTGGTGCACCGGTGATGACGCCAAAACCTCACAGTCCGGCCCAGTTTGTGTGGGGAAAACGCGCAGGACGCGTTCACAATGTTTTATGTCTTCTTTTTTCAGCAGCCCCACGCACATAAACCACAACCACCTGCTTATGCCATGGAATTGGCACCCAGGCACCCAGGCACTACTGTGTATTCCGTGCTTTAAGTTGTTAACGTCAAGGTCCAGAGGTATCCGTAGGTTGTGGACAGTGGACGATGGACCACGGCCCAGGCGGCATTTATGACGGGCGGATTCACACTAGCCGCTTGTGCTCTATTTTCCACCACGGCCATGGTTCATCGGGCTTCGTCAGCCAGGCCACGCCTGTTCCTGGTCTCCTGACTCCTGAGTGAGCCTCCCTGTCTCTGAGGTTCTGGCAGCAATTCAGGCAAAAAGCTGAACGAGGCCCGGCCTAGAGTCCACCCTTCGCTGTGGGACTCGACAAGGACGCTGGCGAGCCAAAAGACCCGACGGCGACGGGTACGGGCAGAGACGGTACAGACGGTGTAAGTCATCGTAGGGCACTGAGACAAGACGTTCGACGGACCAACCTAGACTTGCGGACCAAAACGAAACAGCCTCTGGGGCGGTGAGTCGCTGGCCGCTACCATGCGATTAGCTAATTAGCCTACCCCCTCCAAAACTGCCAATGCAGGAACGGAAGAGACAATCGATCGATCTTGGAGTTCCTTTCTCCAACCAAACACCAATGAGCACAGAACAAGTCGATTGTTGTTATTGTTGATGTTGATGTTGCCGTCGCCATTCGCAGTCGTGCGTTTGAAATGCGTGACATTGGACCCTACCTCCCACTTGCAGCTGGTTGTCCGGTAAAAGCTGCAACCCCAATGTCAACAGCCAAAGTCAACAAAGGGGAATGCCAACTGAGCCCAGAGCACGCGACATGGGACGATGCACGGGGTCAAGGGTAGTCAGCAGTCAGCCAGCCAAGCAGGGCCTCTGACGCCAGACCGCATTTCTAGAAGGTGTCTCTCGTATCAATCAATCAGGCAAAGAACCAGAACAGAACCGATTCCGATTGCAAACCTTAGGGTTGAGCTAAGAATGAAGAGGTGACCAAAAGAAATAAAAAAATATTTGCCTTGCAATCTCCTGGTTTGCAAAATGGGCAATTCATGCAAACGGCATGACGCCGTCAAATAGCACCCGCTGTGTCCTGCAGAGAAGGCCCCCGTAGACGGTGGGTTTGTTTGCGACGTGTTCCTGGCCCGCTCCGTCCAAGCCATTGGGTTGTGCCCGGCTCGACCGCGGGGGTCCCTCTTACTAAGCAAAGCCGTTGCCTACCTACCTTACCTTATGTAAGATGGTCACTGGTTCTCTGCAATGAGCTGTTGAAATGTGCCAGCGTTAGACGCAATGACAATCGCAACAGTCACATCGTTGGCTTGACAATGATCATTGACACGAATGGAGGCAGTCGAGGTTGGGAACTACAGCAACAACCGCACATAGAACGATGGAGCATTGTCAACGATACCGAGGATGGGAAGAACAATACCGGGAACTGGGTAATGACGATGCAAAACGCACAAAGAGCTAGGAAGCCGGAGAGAAAGTGATATATATATATATACAATCGCGACGAACTGCAGAATGGAATACCTTGAATGTGCTTGCCAACGGAATTATTCGAGGGGCAAAGCGGGTTGCCAACCTCAGTCGAACAATTGACTTCCTCTCGCCCATTGCCCATTGCCCGATAATGACTAAAGACAGCGCGCTTCTTTGTCTGATTGGCCGATCAAATGCTTCAGACATGGCGCGGCTGCTGCTGCCATGAGGCGACGGATCAAGACCCGAGCGCTCGGTGGGCAGCTCCGAATACTCGTCGAGAGTGGATTAAATAAGCAGCCATGATTGGCTGGAAGCCCATTCAGAGCGGATACACACCGATAAGCAACCCCCCCGAACCCGCTCTCTTCCCAAAGCTCTAATTATCTACTGCCGGTCCTGCTGGTCACCCTTCTGACCTCATTATCTCAGTCCCTCGCGAAGACCAAACTCCTCACTCAACCCACGGATTTCCTCCTCGACAAACCACACCACCCTTCACAAACAGCAACAATGGCCTCAATGGCTCGCAGCATGAGGGCAATCCGCCCCTCCGCCCTCTCCCAGATCACCAAGGCCGCTGCTCCCCGCGCTGCCTTCGCTCGCCCAACCGTCCGCTCCTTCTCCACAACCCCCATTAGTGAGTCTCCCGCCGCGCACATTGCTCCTCCACGGCCGGATATCTCTTCGCGAAGCATTCCGCACTACACCAGCACACCATACTGACCTCCGGATCCTCTTCCGCCAGGCTTAATACGCAAGTACACCAAGGACCACGAGTGGGTCGACCTCAACGCCGACAAGAAGACGGGCGTCGTCGGCATTTCCGAGTACGCCGCCGAGCAGCTGGGCGACGTCGTCTACGTCGAGCTCCCCGAGGAGGGCGCCACCGTCGCCCAGGGCGATGCCATCGGCGCCGTCGAGTCCGTCAAGAGCGCCGCCGACATCAACGCCCCCATCACCTGCAAGGTCACCCAGGTCAACACCGGTCTCGAGGAGAAGCCCAGCACCATCAACAAGGTCCCCGAGGACGACTCCCATGGCGGCGGCTGGATCGCAAAGATCGAGGTCGACGAGGCGGGCGTCAAGGAGATCGAGGCCCTCATGGACACTGAGGAGTACAAGGCTTTCACCGCCGACCACTAGAGAGCCCCCGGGTTTGCGATAACGAAAGAAAGAAAGACAAAAAAGGGCAAAAAGAGCAAACGGGTGCGGGAACGTAACCGGTAGTGTGGCCGGCAGCAGTTCAACCTGACATATGGTCTGCAAAGGGTGAGGGAAGGGGTCGTCGGGTCGTATCATACACCGATACCGGGCGCGAATATTGTTTTTATCATCATCATAGGGGTTACGATTTCAACGAGATAACCGCACACATAGAGGAGATGAACAAGACAGCAGACAAGATAAAAAGGTCATCGTCAATGCTCCCATACGTCAGGGAATCAGTCTATTTTGTTGTCATGGCATGGTCGTTTAAAAACCGTTAAAACAATAGTTAAGTAGCGGGGGCGGCAGTTGTCGTCGTCGTCGGCTGCGCATCCGGCTTCATCGCGTTGATCTCGTCAAGGATCTTTTGTGCGCCTCTGTCCACCAGGTCCTGTGCCACAAGCTTGCCAAAGTCATCCGCCTCCTCAGCCGTCTCGATCGTCTCGGTCCGCTCCGCGTCCACCCCCTGCTGGCCGTCGACGTGCACCACCGTCGCCTTCACCCGCAGCTTCTTGGCCCCTCCCTCGGCCTCCACCCAGCTCGTCTCCACGCCAATCGGCACACTGCACCCTCCCTCGAGCGTGCGCATCACGCTGCGCTCTGCCACGCACGCCAGCATGGTCGTCCGGTCCTC